ATGTGAGAAATGATAGAGGAAGCTGGGGGAGAGAGGTAGAGGAGGGAGAGCTAGGGGAGAGAGGTAGAGGAGGGAGAGCTAGGGGAGAGAGGTAGAGGAGGGAGAGCTAGGGGAGAGAGGTAGAGGAGGGAGAGCTAGGGATATTTACATCACTATGATCAATGCCATCGTCTCAGTAAGCATGATTGGGGGCAGTAAAGCACAGCAACAGCAGCAACAACAGCAGCAGCAGCAGCACCAACAACAGCAGCAGCAGCAGCAGCACCACCACCACCATCACCACACTACCACCACCAGCAGCTGCAGCATCAGTAGCAGCAGCAGCAGCAGCAGCAGCAGCAGCAGCAGCAGCAGCATCTGCAGCAGCGCCTCTCTTCATATCTCCCGGCCGCACGACCAACGACTGTGGCCACGCCGCGGCAAAACGCTCGCGTTCAAGTTTCTTGTGATATCACATTTTTCTAAAAAGAAGAAGAAACGTACTCCCACACTTTACAGTATATACAAACGCGCGCGTCGTAGAGAGGGGGAGGGGAGGACGTAAAAGGTCCTGAATAAATACATGACGACGACGACGATGACCGCGGCGGCAGACGTTCCGTTGTCGCAGCCTGTCGATGAGTCGATCGTGCCGCGGACCTGTAGGGGGTGCCGCCCACGCAGGGCCGCGATCGACAGACTAGCAATCCTGATCGTCAAGATCAGCGCTTTATCTTTGTTTATTCGTTCGTGGCGACGTTCGTCACTCGTTATGTCGTCACGATCCTTCGCTCCGACGGTCGAGTCGCCGTTGAGACGGGGTCGAGACAGATCGAGACGAGTCGAGACAAGCCGAGAGTCGTCGCAGACCGACAGTTTAGTCGTGTTTTGCGCAGAGGGATCGAGACATCACCCCCGACGATTCGGGAGGCCGGCGCCCCAACGCAATCGCCATGTGGCGCCACGCGGTGGCAGTTCTCCGCGTCGCCCGCGCGCCGTTCCGCGACCGTGCGCTCACGCCGCCACCTGTCCGAACAAGAGAACGTTCCCGCGTTCCAGAGCGGCGCGGCATTGCCGAAAGAAGAACGACGACAGACGTCTCGCCCCGCCGCCGACGACTCGTGTGTCCGCCGGACTAGACGGCGCCACCTGGTGTCAGTGTCGCTTGAAATCGGAGCGTGCGTAGTCGGAGCCTCGCTCCCGCCAGTCGCGGTCGGGAGGGGGACTGCGGTAGTTGTGGTCAGACTTGCGCTTGTACGGGTGGTACCTGATGGGAGATACAAAGTTAAACTGACTAATATCGTGCGTTAAACACTTACACTGACTTATTACACGTTACACAAGAGCAACAACAACCACAAAACCAATAACAACAACAACAACAACAACCACAAAACCAATAACAACAACAACAACAACAACAACAACAACACTGAGGTGTAACCGAACCGAAGGCGTCGTAGCCGTGGAGAGAACGTACGTTTTCTCTCTCCCTCTCTCTCCCTCCCTCCCTCCCTCCCTCTCTACCTGGTGGGAGACACGAGATGGCGATGGCGAGAAGGATTAACATCACACGTTACAATAATCGACGCGATTGAACAAACTCAATAGGCGTTAAACCGACTTACATCTCGGGTTAAACTGACTCATATTAAACATTAAACCGACATATCATATGCTCATGCTCTCTCTCTCGCTCTCTCTCTCTCTCTCTCTCTCTCTCTCTCTCTCTCTCCTCTCGCGCTCTCTCTATTCTCTCACCCTCTCTCTCTCTCATTCATATGCTCATGCTCTCTCTCTCGCTCTCTCTCTCTCTCTCTCTCTCTCTCTCTCTCTCTCTCCTCTCGCGCTCTCTCTATTCTCTCACCCTCCCTCCCTCTCTCACATACCTGTCATCGCGGTCCGGCCCTGGTCGATCCGCGGGGCTGTGGTAGCTGCTATGGGAACTATCACCACCTCCACCTCCACCTCCACCACCGCCGGCGCCGTGCCAGTCTGCGAAGCGGCCGTAGTCCTGGTCCTGACTCCTGTACTCCGGATCCTCGTGTGGGGGCGGACCCTTGTCACTGCCGACAGCAAGACAGCCGCTAAGTCGATGAGAGAAAAGAAGGAAACCACCGCCGCTCATAACTTATTATCGGAACACCACACACAAATTTTTACTCACAGTCGCATTTCTTTCCACGTTTCGAGACTACCTCCGCGGCTTCCCTGCGGAGGGACGAAAACGACGGGGAGACGGACGGAGGGACGGAGGGAGGGAAGGACGGGGAGGGACGACGATGAGGAGACGGACGGAGGGATGGAATGTATCGGTACCGACGACGGACGGAGAAGGCGCGTCGTGCGCGTGCAATCCGTCGCTGTGCGTGCGTGCGGCCGACCGACTTTGCTGTAGCAAGGACTGTGCTCTAGACGTGCCAACTAGTCAGGCGCGCATAGATCGAAGCCTCGCATGCGGGGCCAGGGAGAAAGGAAGAGCGGACGCTCGCTCGTGCGACCCCCACCTCCACCCTACCCTGCTCTCCCTCTCCCCTACTCACCGTACCACACTTCACCCACCCCCCTTAGCAAACAACTAGTCAGGCGCGCATAGATCGAAGCCTCGCATGCGAGGGGAACAGATGCTGGCTCGTGCGACCACCCAACCCCACTCTACCCTGCCCCACCGCACCCCACCCTACCCTGTTCTTCCCTTCTCCTACCCACCGCATCCCGTCTCACCGAACCACTTAGGGGAACTTGAAAAGAGTACACTTTCCACGCCCCACAAGATGTGAGCCGAGTAAAATCTTTACGTTGCGTATTCTTCCGACAAACGGTTTAATGAACAAACCGTCGCCAAGTTTCAACTCTTCGTTAACATCAAGAACATTTTAGGAGTCAAAATTTCTCACAGAACATTGAGAATATCTTTCAGGATTGTCTAGTTTTAGGAATCAAGTTTCTCAAAAAACAATAACAACAAGACCACTTTGAAAGACTCCAGTTTTAGGAATCAAGTTTCTCACAAAAAAAACAATAATAATATTTTGCAGGAAAATATTTTCGTCGACCACCACGTCTCATCAACCCCCCCCCCCCCGGCATCCCCGCGCGACGACGCCTCGCCTCCTCCCTACCTCTGTCTGTAATCCGGCTCTCGCTGGCTCTGCTGCCTGTACTCCTTCTCCATCTTGAACCTTCGCGACCTGGGGTCACGGGGGTCACGAGGGTCGCGAGGGTCGTCCGATTGAAACAGCGGCGGCCGGTCCGACTTCCGTCGGTCTCCGCCCCCGTGGCTCGGGTTGTCGCGGGCGGGGTCGACGTACCGACCCCCCGGGGGGCGGGGCCGGTCGAGGTGGGCGGGGCCGCCGTCCGCGGGGTTCTGGCCATCGCCGTCGCGCCGGTACGAGTTCCAGCCCGACCGCTCCGCCTCGCTCCTGAAGCTGCAATACAGAGGGCGCTCACGTCACGTCGACCAGCGCACGCTAATTTATAGGTGGCGCTCAATCAGACTGGGAGGCAGGCGCTCAGCTGGGGATGGAGAAGGAACGAAGAAAAGAGACAGAAGGAAAGAAGAATGAAGGGAGAAGGAAGAAAAAAGAAGAAATGAAGGGAGGAGGGGGGAAGGAACGAAGAAGAGAGACAGAAGGAAGTGAAGGAAGGTAGTGCTAGTGGTAACAGGAAGTCGCAGGATAAGAAGTGAGGACACAGTCACAGAAAGCCAGAGTGGAAGGCAAGGTCACGACAAGAGAAAGCGAGGTCACGGCGAGGTCACGACAAGAGAAAGTGAGGTCACGGCGAGGTCACGACAAAAGGAGCGAGTCCAAGATGTAACTCTGCATATTAATTTGTCTAATAATTATTTGGATTAGTCAACAGCTTTGAGTGGCTGCTGTATAATAATTTTGAGCAGAGCGGGGTGAGTTGACAATTTTAGATGACAATACTAACAAGATTAGTTGACAATTTTGCAGGCGAGTGTAGCGTTTTTCCTCAGACGACGGCGCACGAGGTTCAAGCGTCCGGCGTCCGCGGAGGCAACGCTGGTGATGCTGTCGCACAGTGGTTCCTCAACGCACCGATGGGGCGGTGCGAAAGATCTAGCCGTGCATATACGTGTTTCTACCCTGCCATCGCGGCGCCCCTTAACCCTACGGACTGCACTCGCGCAACTGCACACAGACGAAGACCACCTGCGGGGGCCTCCCACGTTACCACGACAACGGCGCAGTTGGGTTTAACACCGTTACCGCGGCAACAGGGCGGCGGCGGCGGCAGCGATGACTCACCTGTCTTTACCCCTGCTGCTCCAGCCCGGCCGCTGACCGGACGACCGCTGCTGCTGCTGGTAGTTGGACTGCGGTTTGCCGAGCGCAGGCGGACCGCTGAAACACACGAGACAATCAGTCGGTCATGAGCGCGATTCAGACGAACGCGGGAACGCGAAACCATTGCGGGGGGCGTGCGCCTGGATCGAACCGGGGCATTGGCCGGTCGTTTAAATCCGAGACCTGCGCACACACCGAAGAGTTTATGTGAAAAACCCGCTAAAAAACCCCATCAGTCAGTCAGGCTGTCAGTCAGTCATGTGCGCTGACGAAATAGTCACGCACGCGCGTGTTTGTTTCAGTGCGCTGAAGATTACTTAAGATACTTGCTGCTGGTACAAGGATGATCGCTTTTCGGGTACGTTTTTTCGTCACCGCAGGGGGGCGCTACGACCGATCGACGCCGCTCGCCGACATCTGGCTCAAAAATGCTGCCACCCGGCCACGCAGCGGCCCCTGCCAGCGCGCCAGAGATGCCAACACATACTTGAAGCAATCTGTAGTTTCTGGCCATCAAATTAGTAGTTCGAGGGTCACGTAGTGACCCGAGTTTGCTAGGGGGGTCCGGCATGCCCCCCCCAGAAAAATTTTTAATTCTGAGATGCAATTTCCTGCATTCAGGGGGTCAAAAATGACAATAAATTGACAAAAAATGACAATAATTAACCAAAATTTTTTTTTGAGATCACAGTGAAATTCGTAGTTTGATACAAACTGGTCATAGTGGTGCAAAAGGAATAGAAGTTCGTATAAAAAACGGATAAATCGTAGTGGTTGGCATCTCCGGCGCGCGCCCGTCCTCCCCCCCGCGCTCGCGCCGTAACTCACCTGTTTCGCGGGTCGGTGGGGGCGCCACGGTCGTACGGCCGCTTCACCATGATCTGCCGCTGCTCGTAACCTTCCGGGTACTTGCGCTTGCTATCCGAGTTCGCCTGCGCCTTGCGATTCTGAAATGCGCAGACGTTTTAGTGACGTCGTCGTGACAACGAAATGCGCGCGCGGGGTCATCGTCGTAGATCTCGCGGGCGGTCGCTTTTGCCGCGCGACCCCTGCCGTAGCCAATCCATCCTCCCCATGACGATTGACCGGCCGGCCACTCTAATGAATTAGCGTTGCGATTGGATGGGTTTAGGCTCTAAAATCTAATGCTTAGCGACAAAGTGCCGATCGATTCTCGCATCTACATCCGAAGAGCGGAGTGAGAGATCCCAGGTGCTAATTTTAGATATTAAATAACTCTAGATATTAATTTGTCTAACAATTAATTGGATTAATTTGTCTAATAATTAATTGGATTAGTTTGTCTAATAATTAATTGGATTCGTTTGCCTAATAATTAATTGGAGCAGTTTTGAGTTGTCGCTGTATAATAATTACGAGCGGAGCGGGGCGAGTGTAGCGTTTTTTCCTCAGACGACGGCGCACGCGGTTCAAGCGTCCGGCGTCCGCGGAGGCAACGCTGATGATGCTGTCGCACAGTGGTTTCCCAACGCACCGGTGGAGCGGTGCGAAAGAAAGAGCCGTGCATATACGTGTTTCTACCCTGCCATCGCGGCGTCTCCAACCCCCCCCCCCCCCGACACGGACAGCACGCAGACGTAGATCACCCGCAGACGCGCTTCCCACGTTACCACGACGACAGCGCACCTAGATGACAGTGCGTGACGCGAGGTTGGGTTTAATGTCGCGTTACCACGACAACAGCGCACCGTCTCTCCATTCGACAGAACCGACGGCAGACCGCGACGCGTGTCTGCAATCGCGACGCGTGGGGGGTGGCGGGCAGGGTTAAAAAATACACGGGAGCGATGAGCGATGAGCTCTTCAAACCTCCGAAATCGCTCCCGTGAGGCTCAAAATAGCTCCCGTAAAAATTTTGTGCCGAGAGCTATTTTTCCCACAGACTTGAAAAAGAGCTCCTGTGAAAGCAATTTTTGGGTGGGTGAGTGTCTTCTCCCCCCTACCCTCCCCTCCCCCTGGGAGGTGGGTGGGTGGTTGTTTGCCTCCTACCTGCGCACGCTTCTCCTTGTCCTCCTCGCGGTTCTTGACGGCGTGCTTGTACAGCTTGTGAAGCTTCCGCGCGTCAAACTCCGTGAACTTCGACACGAACGTCCACAAGTTGCTATGGAAACGAACGAACAAACGATGCTCACGCGACCTGTAGTACGGCTGTCCACAACACCGACGACAGACCGTCGCTCGTGCGGCCACCTAATCACTAACGAGTGCTGCATCGTTAACTAATCATTAACTTGATAGAAAAAAATTGATAAGCTATATAGGATGAGCGTGAGGGGTGAGCTAGTGAGTTTGATCAGCTACGTACGTGCGCCACTCCTTACCTAACCTCTTACTAACATCGCGTGGATAGATAGTGAGTGTGAGCTATGAAGCATGATCTATGAGGGGTAACCAGCTACGTACGTGCGTCACTCCTTGATCTTCTCCTTACCTAACCTCTTACTAACATCGCGTGGATAGATAGTGAGGGTGAGCTATGAAGCATGATCTATGAGGGGGTAACCAGCTACGTACGTGCGCCACTCCTTGATCTTCTCCTTACCTAACCTCTTACTAACATCGCGTGGATAAATAATGAGGGTGAGGTATGAAGCATGATCTATGAGGGGGTAACCTCTTACTAACATCTCGTGGATAGATAGTGAGTGTGAGCTATGAAGCATGACCTATGAGGGGGTAACCAGCTACGTACGTGCGCCACTCCTTGATCTTCTCCGGGTCGTTGAAGTCGGCGAGGCATTCGTTGATGCGGTCGCCGATCTTCAGCAGGCAGGCGCGCGTGTGGTTCAGCTGCTCGCGTTCGTTCAGGCCCTCTTCTGGCCGATCCAGCAGCTTCAGCGCCCTCTTTACCGGCCGCATCATCTCCTTGCACTGCAACGGCGGCGGGGGTCAAAGGTCGTCACGGTGGAAAACATCGGGGTCAAATGTCATCGTGACGGGAACGGCCGGGGTCGAGGGTCGTCGTGACAGGAACGGCAGGAGGTCGAGAGTAGCCGTGACGAATTTACGCGGTCAAAGGTAGGGACGACATTATGGGAACGGCGGGGGTCGTGGGTCGTTGCCACGGAAACAGCCGGGGGTCGAAGGTTGTTATGATGGGATTGGCAGGGATAAGGGGTCATTGTGACGTTACGATGGGGCTAAAGGGTTGTAGCCACACAACAAAGGACAAGAACGAAGAGAACGCACGGATGTATTACGAGATACAAAACAGGTAGATAGAAATTTTAGGAAAGAAATGCACGCACATGTAATGGAAGTGAGCTTATTTGTGAGCGTGGGTGCGTTCAACCTCAGAGCGGATATTAATTTGTCTAATAATTATTGAGATTAGTTGACAATTTTGCAGGCGAGTGTAGCGTTTGTCCTCAGACGACGGCGCACGAGGTTCAAGCGTCCGGCGTCCGCGGAGGCAACGCTGATGATGCTGTCGCACAGTGGTTCCTCAACGCACCGATGGGGCGGTGCGAAAGATCTAGCCGTGCATATTTCTTCCCTGCTATCGCGGTACCCCACTAATCCACACCTCATAAGTGGCTTGTATGGTGGCTTGTAGTTGTATGTGCACATACAAGCATGCACGCACGCACGCACGCACGCACGCACGCACGCACGCACGCACACACGCACACACAGACACACACACACATGCCCACACACCCACACACACATCCCCACACACACGTACGTACCGAGGTGAAGGCATTAGGGTCCAGTTCTCCCAGGTCCTCGTCCTTGATGGCTATCGGCTGCGCGTTGGCCGTGATGTGCATCGCCGGCGGCTGCCGCTTCTTGCTGCCCTTACGCTCCTTCACCTGAAACAAGAGTGCATTCATCAATCGGATGACAGGAGGCCTCCTGTAGCCAGGAGCGGTCTAACTAGTTCATCATTTACTATTACCACATAATTATAACATTATATTGTCATTATTATTATTAATATTATTATTTTTAATTTACTATAACCACATAATTTATCATATTATTGATTTTTTTATTATTATGCTTGCTATTTTATCGTTGTTTTACTATAATAATGATAACTAGAAAGGGCAGTTGTCGCCAACTACATGTATCCCCCGTGATCTAGTATGAATGAAATATCTCTGTAAGAACGTAGAAGGTAGGTAAAGTTAAATAAGTCACAAAGACAAAGGTTTGTTACACAACTCATCTGCCTGAGATGTGCAAGTATGTTAAAATTAGTTGCCTTAGGGGTTTTGGTACGCGACACACCTTCTCCCCAAGATGTGTAAGTTTACCAAGTTTGGTAGCGCTAGGTCAATTAGAGGCAGAGTTATAGAGTTGAAAGGAAATATGATCAAGGTCAATGTCAAGGTCAAATAAAGGTCGCAGTGACCTGGTTTTGGTACACGACACACCTTCTCCCCAAGATGTGCAAGTACACCAAGTTTGGTAGTGCTAGGTCAATTAGGGGCCGAGTTATAGAGCGGAAGAGAAATATGATCAAGGTCAAGGTAAAGGTCAAATAAAGGTCGTAGTGACCTGGTTTTAGTGCACTGCGCACCTTCTCCCCAAGATGTGTAAGCAGACTATGTTTGGTCACGCTAGGTCAATTAGGGGTCGAGTTATAGAGCGGAAGGGAAAGTGTCTGCGGCGGCGGCGGCTGGACAGACATGAAACCATAGTATCCCCGCCGAGTTCGTCGCAGGGGATACAATAATAATATCAACAATTATTACCTCTGCCAAGGGGTTGGCAGGAGGTTATGTTTTCACCAGCGTGTGTTTGTTGGTTTGTGGGTTTGTGCGTTTCTTTGTTTGTGTACAGCCTAACTGAAAAAGTTATGGACGGATTCATAAAATTCCCAGGATAGGTCAGAAATGGGCTAACTTAGAATTGATGCGATTTTGGTGGTGATCCATTTCCAATCAATTAATTAATTAATTAATTAAATTTTCAGGATAGGTCAGAAATGGGGTAACTTAGAATTCATACAATTTTGGTCGTGATCCGGATCCAATTAATTAATTAATTAATTAATTAAATTTTCAGGATACGTCAGAAATGGGGTAACTTAGAATTCATGACATTTTGGTGGTGATCCGGATCCAATTAATTATTTAATTAATTAATAAAAATTTTCACAGTGAGAGAATTGAGCTGCATTGGCGGAGGTCTGCGCTCTCCGAGTGCTCTAGTTATTATTATTATTAACAGATAGATGGCAGCAGCCTACCTTCTTGTGTTTCTTGTTCTCCTTGCTCTTCTCGTCGGCGTGGTTCTCCGTCTTGCTCTTCTTCTTCTTCTTCTTCTCTCCGGACTTCTTCTCCTCCTTCTCCCCGTTCTCCTTCTTGTCTCCCTCGCTCGTCTTCTTCGTCCGCTTAACCTTCGCCTTCGCCGGCTGCTCGCCAGAAAACAAGAGAACGACTGAGCAAATTTTCGACCGGCGTGACCGACCGGAAGCTCCGACCAATTAGAATCGCGACGGGAAACTCTAAAAATACTGCTAAGTAACGACGTGCCGTGCGTAGGATCAGTTTAGGTCGAAGAAAAGTTTTTTTTGGCTGATATTGACATTTATTTTTTTAGGTTAATTATATTAATTATGCCCCTTTTCTTTTACCTTTCTTCAAAATCTAAGCCGCCTGCACTCGACTAACGTAAGAAGTAGGCTAGATTGTAAAGCTAGCAAGCACACACTGAATATCCCATGTTTAACTATCAGTTGTCATATCTTATCCTTCTAAGTACGAAGTAGTTAAAAAGCGACCTAGAGAAAACTTCAACAGATTTTTTATTCCCTAAAATCAAACCCCCCTCCCTTTCACATCGAAGCACGTGTTTACTATAAGCGTAATTCTATTCTAGGATGAGTCCAAATAAAATGACAGTCCAACAGATTAGTATGTTCTATATTGGCCTCCTAATTGGCACTAACGACCTTAATATCATTAACACGTCAATATTTGGATTCTTCTCAAACTTATAACGTAACAAAAAATCAATACGTAAATATGAACTTTCTAACGTATGTAAGATGCCAATAACAATGCACGCATGCACTTTTTTACAAGGACGACACACAAAACAAGACCACTAGACCGCTCACATAAAAAGATAACAATAAGTCGTACAAAGATCCAGGGTGCGAAATTAACGGGAGTCCGGAGTCAAATACTCCCTGATTTACTGTCGGACTCCCCGATTTGACATATGCAGGAGTCTGTGTGACTCCCTGAAAATTCTGCCACACGAACTAGTTCGTTCCAGAACACGGCCTCGCAGAATTACCGTATTTTTCCAGCAAATTTCCAAAGAAAATTTGGCAGACGTGCAACCGCATGAATCTTCAAAATATGCACACGTGTGTTATTGTTAATATCTTTAATTTTGACCTTCAGACTGCGCACTCCCTCATTTTGCTGCGGACTCCAGCTTTTTGTGGGTAGGGAGTCCGTTGGACTCCCATGTTCAAAAGTTAAATTCTACCCCTGTAGATCGTCTTCAGTACCATGCACACACAGCCACACTATCTACGAACTCAGTGCAGACACTCAACAGAATGACACACGAATCTAAAACAACAAGGAATTCTAAACACACACACGGAATTCCACAAGAACATCACAGGGAATCGTATTAACGCAAATTCCAAGCAAATTTTAAGGATTTCCGAACGTCCAAAGAATTTGAAGCGGGACGCAAAATTCTACACCTAAAGCGGACCTCACGCGCAAATTAAAAAATAATCCCAAGCGAATTACGAAAGAATTTGAAGCGGACGCAGAACCGGCAAAAAATAGTAGAATCCAGCCGATTTTCCCGCCACTGCCGCACAACGAACAAGCGAAGACAAGCGAACGTGCGACGACACGCGCGGGGCAGCAGGGGGCAGCAGCGTACCGATTCGGAGGCATCACTGTTGCTGCCGCCGCCGCTCTCGTTCTTCGGAGCGTTAGCCTTGTCTAGCTTACTCCTGCGCGGCTTTCGTGGCGTCTTACTCACCTGCAGCTGATAGAGAGATAGAGATAGATAGAGAGAGAGATAGATAAGAGAGCAAGTGAGAGAGAGAGAGAGAGAGAGAATCATTTCTCTCTCGCGTCGGGTCTATTCTCTTTCTTTGCTTTTCTCATTTTTCTCGTCTCTTCTACTCTAGGGGTCTCTCTGTGGTCAGGGTTGGCTCTATCATGTCTTATCGGTCGCTCTGCCTCTCTCAGGTCTCGGCAAGAGAGGACCGGAAGAATACGAGACAGTCGGATAAAACCGGTTGTTTTTTATTTTTGCCACAATTTGTTTTATTCGGTGTCTCCCAGTAACGCCTTTCGGGATGGTAGAATCAGGGTCATCTCTCACTCTCTTCCATTCTCTGCTTGATTCTCTCTCGCTTCTCTCTCCTCTAGTCTCTCTTATATCTCCACTCTCTCTCCACTCTCTCAGTATTTCTCTCGCTGGGGCTCGTGTGTCTGATGCGGTTTGGCCGTTCGTCTCGTCTCTCGTCTCTCACTTTGCTCTCTTACTATCCTCTGGCGAGGTCTAAGTCTAATATCTATCGTATCCTCTCTATCAGGCGTGACCAGGGTGAGTAGGACGCACCGAAACGCCGCGCGGAGTAACTTAGACGGGGGCTGTAAGCTCCGAAAGAACAGAGAGGGAGAGCGGATGCTGTCGCGGTGGCTGTGGGTTCGAGGAGATGAGTGGAACGTGCCCAATAGCAGTGTTAGCGAGGAGCTATAACAACATAACAACAGGTTGTCGCTTGAGTCATGTTCTCGGGTCATAAGGCGTGAGAATAGTGAGGTCCCTACCTAAACCTTTCTCACTGCTGCGGTCGGGGCAGTTCATAGGTGGTAACCGTCCCGATCACCTGACACACTAACAGTCGCTGGAGAAAAAACTGAGGTTAATCCATGTACTAAAAATAGGTGGTGTTGTGCCATGTACTCGTATGATAAATGGGCTAGCAGGTGATATGAACCGATGCAGGAACAAATTGACTAAGCGTGTGTGCGCAACTACGAAAGTGTGGCCATTAAAAGTATAAGAACACTTGGAACTCCATGCTCGGGTAGTAAACGATAACATGAATGGTCCGTCGCACTCCCGGCAGGTGGTTGTCCTAGGTCGTGGGATCGTGGCTGTAGGTGCGGCATACGTGAGCGGGACGAAGGGAATTCAATGGAGGACTGAGTCACCAGACGAGAGGTGGGGCTGGGTGCCATGTCGGCGTGGGAGGCCGTGGTGAGGGGTGTGGGGGAACTAATAACTTGGGTCAAAACACCCAGTGTGCAACTGCAAAAGTGGCGAAGAAGTGAGGGGAACAGAATGGATGGATGATGTTGCTGATGAGAGAGCGGATTAGTAGGTAGAGCTTTACAGGCCACCGTCGGGTGAGTCCGGCCATTAATCTAGCCGAAGCGCTGAGATCCAGACGCGATTCGCGCAGCAGTGGCAGGTGTCGCTGTGTCATGTCATTGCCACCAAACGCATCGCGTGCAGAAACTGGCGCGATGGGACAACCGTACTGGGGTGTGGGGGGGGCGCAGCGCACTGGCGCGGGGGTGTCGTGGAGGGGTGGCGCGTCGGGGCCGCGATGGTGCTTCAGTGAAAATGGGCGTTGAGGGCCATGGTCATGTATGGTGCCAGGTGAGTAGTGGCCATGGCAGTAG